AAATATCAATTTTTTTTATTAAGTCTTAAAGTTTGTAAAGCAATGTTTTTCTCATGTTTTTTTTTTCTTTTTGCATGTTGCCTATTTATCATGCAAAGTAATATTCAATTTAAGATTACAAATACTTTTGTGCATCAGAAAATTTTGAAATTTCACTTGTGAAATCATTATAATGTCCAGATAGTTATCAAATGTTTCTTAAGAAAATTTTTTTATATTTTATCTGTTATTTTCAGTAATTAATCTGTGTATGGGTTCGGTAGATTTGACCGATCTCGGAACCATCATAAATTAGGAAATAAATATATATTATGCCTCTTTCATTCTAGAATGAACACAAATTATAATAAGAAAACATAAATGTTTAGACTAAATAGCTTAAATTTCATAACATTATACATTTATATATATTTATTATTTTTATTATATTGACTTTTCAGCCATGCCTGGCTCACAGTACAAAAGTTACAATGATATGGGTCACGTGCACTCATGTTACCGTATCAAATAACATAAAACTGACCTTTGGTCTGTGCAAAGTAACTTGTCTTGGCTGTGTTTTAGTAGAGTAGTATTTTGTACAATACAGTCACATATCAATTATTATACATTATATATTTATATAGATTATTGCTGTTTTGAAATAAGTTCTTAAACATAGAACAGTAACTAAAGAAGTAATGCAAACAATTAGCTCTTGTACTTACGACCTTTGTACTTGGTTGCTAAGCCTTTAATAAATTTGCATGTTGAGGATATGAAACAAAATAATTGTTTTTAGGTTTTATATATACATTTGAATAACTAAAGAATCATAAATTACTACATTAATACCAAGGAATTCCACTATAATTTATCAAGCTAAGTAACTAAGATGTATTTTAGTAAAAAAAATATTAAATTTTAAGCAGACTAAAGATACACCCTACCTTGTTGAAATATTGGTTCAAAAGAAAGAAATGGCACCAAACCTGTTAAAATGGCTGAGAAAGCCACAAGGGGGACATTCTGTGCTTCTGATTAGTTATTCATGTCATATATAGACGTAAGTGTATCTAAGGGAGAATTTCCAAAAATGGAAAGAGGTGTGCAGGGTGCCACTGTGTTTGATTTATTACATGAGCAATATCTTAGCAAGTTGAAAATATAAGAGGCTCTTATTTTATATTCTAGCTTGTCAATATTAGTAATTTGAATTTCTAATTCGTACGAAACTACAGACTTAGTATTTTGACTTTACAAACATTTAATTTGAACTAGTGCTGTATTCAACATACCACGTGACATACAAAAATCGATGTTTATCTGTGATTTTTTTAATATTTGCTTTTATTTTAAGAAATGGAGTAATATATAGTAGTGAAATTTGAATTAAAACCTACAGTTTGATACCAAAGTTATTGACATAAATTCATGAAATAGTAGTTCAATAAAATTTTGAATGCTAGTCAGCAAATGTGATGAAATGGCCTTTCACCCATGATCTGTCTCGAAAGGGTTAATTCAACACTAAAATTTTCTATTTACTAATAGTAAAACATTACTCACTAGTATGTCACATCTCATGATACATGTAACTAATTGCAAGTTTAGATAATCTTAGCAGCTACCAAAGATTAGAAACAGTAATTTCAACTCTGTAGATAAAAATATATTCTCCTTATTATGTAGGTAACACTTATTGTATTTATTTCTTTTAATTTAATATTTAATAACTTTTGTAGGTGACTGCCCAGTATTCCAAAGGTCTGATAGTCATAGATCTTTGATTTTCGCAGTACAAGTCAAAATTTAATGAATAAACAAATTCTTGGGTCTATAATAGATTATTGTAATCTCAAATGAAAAGTTTAAAGGGTGCATCATGGCTGGGGTTTGGGGGACTAGCTGCCCCTAACAGCTTGCTCTCATTTTAAATGCAAACAACAGAAATATTTGAATTGACATTGTAGTGTACAGCTCAATGCATTGGCTCGATAATTTTACTGACTGGAAGTTTTCAACATGTTTAGTGAGTTAGTGATATAACATTTATTTTCACAGCACTGTGGAAATGAAATCTTGAATGTCCATTCTATCAGAAGAGCTAGATTCCCAAATATAATCCTGATACATAAATATGCAGGCTCTGCAGCTAACACTATACATGCATACAAGAAAATAACATCAGGGAAATGATGATAAACATTATCCATCCATTCATGAGAAATTGCAACCTTTTAGGTCATATCCTAGGTGTTTTTGTTATAAAATTTCACACATTTAAATAAACAATCAGTTTAACATATTAACTGTAAAAAAATAAAATCTTCAAAATATCAGGCCTTTGGAGTAATGGGCCCTTGGACTAAAGGACTATCATCCTTTTCTAACTTGATACCACTACTGTACCTCAAAACAACAGTACCTTAAGGCTTTAGACTTTGCACTACGTGCACAAACAAAACTTAGGTGTCTAATCCTAACTAAACTAATTAAAATACACTAACCAACTACTAATGAATTTAATAATAGCAAAACAATAATCATTTTCTCCAAAAAAACAGTAAGTACAATAGTACAAGTATTTCTAATTTCTCTATCTCAGAGCTCACAAGCATTTGTTTGTTAATCTTAAATGCTCCACGAAATGCTTGTCAGGTGAACTGAAGTAAAGATTAGTTAAAAGTATAACGTACTTCATAGTATAAACCAGTTATAGAATAAAATATTTGAGCAAATTATCATAGTTTATTAGGAGGCATTAGAAATTTTAATTAAAAACCCATACACATTTATACAGACATGCTTAATCTTTAGCACACTTGTTTTTATCTTATGACTGAGAACAGTGATTTTTTTGAGGCTCTGGAAAATACAGCTGTATCACGTAATAATTAACTTTATATATCTTGCAGAAAATTACTATTGGTTCATTAAAAATGACATACTTTGTTGATAATCAGTGTTTTTGAAACTGGATGAAATTTTTCTCAATATGTTACTACATTTTAATAGAAGTCAACTGATTTCCATATCTTAATTGCAAGACTAGCAACAACATGGCAAACACAAGTCAGTTCAGTATGTCTGCCTCAGAAAAATGTTGTTGCAGATTGAGGATTAGGATCCAAAAGAAATGAATTCCGATTGGAAACTTATTCATGTGGAGGGAAGTACTTGTAGATTTACTTTGCAGATGAGATGAAACAGAGGACAAACCATAAAATTGTTGGCAACAGTCAATTCTACTTCGTCGTTATTAACCAGTGTGTAGTGAAAGAATTTGAAATTTCTTAATTCTCTTCAAACAATAAATGTTGATAGTAATTGTATTCATGGTTTAATGCATTATGTTTGAGGTGATAATGAAACTAGTGGTGTTTCTGAAATTTTGTTTGCCAACCAATTTAAAAAATTACCTACCTTCCTACATTTTAAATCAGTTTAGGGCTACAGCAAAGAAAAATATTTTTAAGTTTGACCTAACCACTTATCCATGATGTTATGATAAAATTCACTTCACAGCTGTAATTATAGCCAGTATGTGTACTATACTAACAAGTCATTATAGATCTTGTAAGACTTGAAGTGCACAACATATGTGACTTATAATCAGTGCAATTGGGGTTGAGTGTTAACATTGTACATTTAGCTTGTGGAAGTATGTGCATTTAATTCTGAAACTAAACTGGCCATATTTTCAAAGCTTCTACGTGTAGTACGGGAATAAGTAATGAGTGCAAAATACTGTTACCAGATTTATTTTTAGTTTTGTAAATTTATTGATTTGTTGAATAACAGCATAAACTCTGGATGTTTGTAAAATATTTTATAAATTTTATGAGAAGTTATTAAAAGTAGTGTTTAAATAGTTTGCATCCTTGCATCCTTCAAACAGAAATAAAATCTTTTCTTAATTTTATGAAAGTAAACACTTGCATTTTTTTACATTAAAATGTTTTTAGGATACTGAAAATGATTGGAATGTTAGTTGTATTTAGGAATTCAGTGTTGAAAATAAAATTAAAAGTGATAAAAAAATAAGCTTAATGGATATTGATATATTTCAGAACAAAAAGAACAGTATGAAAAGCATCAAGCAGCAGAAAAAGCAAAGTTGGCAAAATTCAGAAAAGATGTAAGTTTCATAAACTGTATATGTAATCTCAGTCTTTCGATTTACAAATGTTGCCTGGTGAAGAGGGCAACAGATCATTTGTTGCCCAAGGGAATGATAGGGGCTAGCGCCTGTTTTACAAGGCTGAAGACCTCCTGTTTTTAGTTTTATGAAAATCTCAACTCGTAGGCCTATTCATCTGTATATATTACTACTGGTAACATGGTTATGAAGGGCATAGGCCCATTTTGTAGATGATTATAATATCTGTATGAGAAATAATTAACTAATCAAGGATTGGGCCACACTGATTCGGTAAATTTATCACTTAATATAACATAATATTTTGGGACAACATGGGGACATATTGGTCCATCTCGGCTGTTCCATCCTCAAAATGATTAAAAAAATAAAATAAAATTATTTTAAACCCAGCCCTTTTC